ATCGGTAAAGCCCTTTCCTTCTCGCCATGTTTGTTTCACTGGCATGTCAGTCACCATGCCAAGGAATGTGTATAGCAGGAAGCGCGTCTCTCATACTTTACTTTGAGGCCTCCGACTGGCACGCCATCTAATGACCAGGCGTTCCTAAGAAGGAGAACGATTGTCTTTATCTTTTAAGGTTTTACTATGATAGAAAATGAATATTATGCAAAAACCACGATACATATATCTATGACTCCCACTATGATCAAGTTAAGGGATTTCCTATACTGTATAATCATTCCCCCTACCGTACAATTCCTGTACCTTTGCTAAGTTCAACCAACTGTTACCTGTTACGTGTTACCGCCTCCAACGCCGTGCGACGCAAAGGGCCTCCACATACTCGCACCAGCCATTTCGATCTTGAGCCCTTTCCATGGCTGTATTTAACTCCGTGAGGAAGGAGCTCGGGCTGACCTTCCACAAAAGACTCTCTGGGGCGTGGCATCGTGGAAGTGTTGCGGATCTCTTGAAACTGAATGTTCCAATCACCCCAGACGAGCCCATTAATGGCATTCCTCCTTGGCTGGATGTATCAGTTCCTGTTGGTTACGCTCCTGTTGGTGGTAAGCGAGTGTTAAACACCCATGTGATGAGATGTGTCACACTAGAAATTATTAACAGACACATAGAGAGTATTAAATCAAGTGAATATTATGCTTTTATTAATGGTTCTGTGAAGACAAACGCAGGTGGAACGGGCTGTGCAATTGTGATATATAAAGAAAAGGAGAAGGTGTCAAGCAGGCAAGGGCTGAACGGCTGGGCCACCACAACACAAACTGAACTAGCTGGAATCTACTTGGCTGCAGGCTGCCTTAAAGAAAATGGAGGTGGGGTGATATTCTGTGACTCTCAGAGTGCTTTGAAATCAATGAACGGGCTCGGGTTCTATGTCTAAAGTTGTATGAGATATTGGGGGAAATGTGATAGCTGCCAATGAGAACAACTTTCGTGTCGAATTTGTGTGGATTCCGTCCCCTGTTGGAATTGGGTATCATGACCGTGCTGACAGACTGGTCAATAAAGCATGTAAGAAAGAAAATATTGACCGTGACCTTGGCCTGTCCAATGCTGTGCTTAAAAGCATTCAAGTCAGAATCATGAACTCTGCTCTGGAAGAACTGAAGAAGTGAGAAATGCGGAGGGACCTGGCAGTTGTAGCATTGGAAAATGTGACAAATTTTGTGACGAGAGGTGCCGGTATGGCCAGCATGGGGACGGAGCCAGACAGTTTGATATGGTCGTGGCCAGAATTAGGCTAGGATACAGGCACATCTGGCAAGTTGGTGGCGCTGTGCCCATACCGGAACATTCAGCATGTAAACTTTGTGATCAACCTTTAAAGCATACACTTGAGCACTATATTATTGGGTGTGACACTGTCAAAGACTTCAGGCCACCTGGCTTACTGTATCATGAACTTTGTAATTACTACATTGAATCGGGGGATGCTTGAGGACATTCTTGCTGTTGGTCCCAGATTTGCTAGCCCACACTGATTAATCTTCAATTAGAATATGACGTCCAATGTATATGAACCACTGTCTTGCGTGGCAGTGAACAGTGACATCACCCACATGACTCTGACCTATATATACTGCTAATGAATATGATGTATTTCTTTGTGTACGAACCTCTGTCCTGCATGGCAGTGAACCGTGACATTACCCACATGAATCTGACCTATATATACTGTTAATGAATATGATGCATTTCTTTGTGTATGAAACTCTGTCCTGCGTGGCAGTGAGAAGTGATACCACCCTCAGTGTCAAGACCTGATATACTCAGCTTTGTCAATAAATTTGTTAAACTAAAAAACGTCCTCTGTCTCCCTTCTCATAGTCGGATCCATGTAGGCCTTGGTCTTTCTCTTCTTCTCGTTCCGTCCACTCTCCACTCTACCGCCTCTCTCAATGCTCTATCCAGACGCACACGCAGAACGTGCCCTAGCCACCTTTGTTTATTCTTCATCAGCCATTCATCGATTCAGTTTCAATTCAATTTCAATATTTTATTCCTTGATAGAGGAACCGGGATCCTAGTGCCGTCACTGGGTACCCCTGTACAATAACACCAGAAGCATCTGACAAGTGTCACAAGTATATATAAATATTATAACACTAGCAGAATCGCTGCCCTCTGGGAGGCTTATCCACTAGGCAACGGCAGGACGCCACCCTCCAGGAGGCTCCACATTGTCTCACTGTTCATTCCCCAAAACTTCTTTTTCCATCAATAGTTAATTAACGGTGTATGTAAGTTCCACCATGTTTTTCACTACAACAAAGTATATTTTTTTACCATTAAGCTGTTATTATTTTATATTCTAATCATCACTACATATAACACCACCCATCATCACTACATGTAACTTCATCCATCATCACTACATATAACACCATTCATCATCACTACATATAACATCATTCATCATCACTACATATAACACCACCCATCATCACTACATATAACAATATCCATCATCACTACATATAGCACCATTCATCATCACTACATATAACACCACCCATCATCACTACATGTAACTACATCCATCATCACTACATACAACACCATTCATCATCACTACATATAACACCACCCATCATCACTACATGTAACTTCATCCATCATCACTACATATAACACCATTCATCATCACTACATATAACATCATCCATCATCACTACATATAACATCATCCATCATCACTACATATAACACCATCCATCATCATCACTACATATAACACCATCCATCATCACTACAGATCGGTAAAGTAGTTTCCGAGAATCTCGTGCGGACACACACACACACACACACACACACACACACACACACAATCAGAGAGACTTCTTTGTTTTATATAGATAACACCATCCATCATCACTACATATAACACCACCCATCATCACTACATATAACACCATCCATCATCACTACATATAACACCACCCATCATGACTACATATAACACCACCCATCATCACTACATATAACAACATCCATCATCTCTACATATATCATCACCATCATCACTACATATAACACCATCCATCATCATCACTAGATATGACACCATCCATCATCACTACAGATCGGTAAAGTAGTTTCCGAGATTCTCGTGCGGACACACACACACAAACACACAAACAAACACACAGACAAACTGTGTATATATATATATATATATATATATATATTCATCGATATAGGGAACATTTGCGACTTCTCTTATCGTCTCGTTTTTAATACGATCACGCCATCTTATGTTCAATGCCTTTTTCTCGAAAGTTCGGAATCTTCTGGATAAAGTGTCATTATCATACCAAGATTCACTTCCGTATACCAAAACGGGTCTTACCAGTGACGTATATAATCTCAGTAAGGTTTGGAGTGTTAGTCTATGTGACTTCCACACTTTGCCCAGTATACCCATAACTTGATGGCCTCTTCTTAATCTGTCCTGAAACTCATCTTCAAGTGATCCATCGTTTTTGACAAGTGTCCCCAAATACTTGAAAATAGGAACTTCTTCTATAATTTGGTCCTCCACCTGAATGTTCCTTTCAATTTCTCGGTCTGTTTTCATAACCTCTGTTTTTCGAACATTGATCGTAAATCAAGCTCCTTTTCCCTTTACCTCCAGTCTGCTAACCATAGTTTGCAAATTCTGAATGGATCTGCTTATTAGTAGCGTCTGCATAATCCAAGTCTGCGAGGTATTTATCGTCGACCCATTCGATCCCTTCTCTCTTATCACCCACTATCTCTTTCAATACGAAATCAATGAGTACAGAGTACAGCAATGGAGACAAAACATTACCTTGCAACACCCTACTCTCGACATTGAATTCTAGGAAAAGTTGGCCATCAACGTTCACAAGACATCTGCTGCCCTTGTGAATTTCTTCTATCAAACAAACGTGTTTTTTCTGGCATTCCATAGTTCCGTAAGATTTTCCACATAGTTGGTCTATGTACGCTATCGAAGGCTTTCTCAAAATCCCAAATGCCATTATCAACGGTTTTCTGAATTCCACATTCTGCTGTATTATGTGACGTAGTGCGAATGCTGTATATGATTACTGCAGTTTCTTGATTTTCTGAACCCTGCCTGTTCATCTGTCACCCTTTGGTCTAAGGATTCTTGAATTTCAGTATGACCAGACAGAAAACCTTCGATACTATTCCTGTTAATATTATCCCTCTCCAGTTTCCACACTCTCGTAAATCACCTTTCTTGGTCAGTTTTATAATGATTCCTTGTTTCCATTTATCCGGGGCAACAACAGTGCTTCATATTTCTTGAAATAGCTTTAATAGTACTTGACATGCACCATTCGAGTCGGCTCTCAACATTTCTCCATTTATTCCATCTAGATCTGGTGTCTTCCTGTTCTTCAACTGTTTTAGTGCCCTTTCAATTTCCCTCACCGTAATGATACCCATATTGACATCCAATTGTTCTTCAGGCTGATGTATAGTAAGAGTATTAGCGCTATGGAAGGCTTTATTTATTACCATCAAGAAATGCTCTCCCCATCGTTCCTTTATACGTTCTTCTGATAATTATCAACTCTCCGTTCATAGTACGTACTGGTCGTCTTTTTTTTCTTGCCTAGACCTGCGATGTCTTTAATTATATCGTATGCCTTACTTACTCCATGTTTATTACTGGAATTAAGTGCCCTGTCTGCTTTTTCTGCCATATTCTCCAGAAAAGGCCGCTTATCACGTCTTGTACGTCGTTTAACTTCGCTATTAAGACTCCAGTATTTGGTTGTTTCTATTTTAAGAGCATCTTCATCTCCTTCAAGTCTATCAACATACACTTTCTGTGTATGTCTCATTTTGTATAATGCTCCAGGTCTCTTCTGAGATCCACTTCTTCCGCTTATTTCTTCTCTTTTTTTCCAAAAACTTTCTCAGCTGAGCCCTGATACAACTGTTTAATGTCTGTTCATCGGGTATCCACATTCCATGTTTTCGACTTCGGACACCCCTGGTTCCTCTTCATTCAATGTCTCCAATACAATGAAGCGGTTGCGGCATTCAAGTTGAAACTCTTCTTTAATCTGGGGGTCTAGCAGTTTCTTGGTATCATAGCTAGTCAGTTCCTCGCTTCTCTCTCTCGTTTCTAATTTCAACTGTACTGTTGCCACAACCATTTGGTGGTCACTTCCGACATCCGCACCTCTACAGGTATACGTCCGCACATCTCGTAGCGAGTTGCACCTCTGCTTCCCAATCATAACATGGTCAATGTGATTGCGATAGTTCCCATCTGGAGATGTTCACGTATATCTTTATGCTTAAACATTGTCCCGCCAATAACGAGGTTGTTAGCCGAGCACAAACTGATCAAACGCATACCATTCTCATTAGTCTCGCCCAATCCGTATTTTTTTCATGACCTGATCCATGCTACGATTGTTGCTTCCCACCTTCGCATTAAAGTCGCCGAGAACTATCTTTATATCTCTGTCCGGAATACTACTCAAAACATCCTGTAGTTGCTCAAAGAAAGCATCTTTCGATTCATCTGGTGAGGTATTTGTAGGCGCGTAACACACTACAAGGCTCATATTAGCTTGCTTAGACTTCAGTCTTGCTAACAGCATTCTTCCTGTACCAACTGGTTTCCATTCTGTCAGCGCTCTCGATGCATTTCTACTCAACAGTAACGCGACGCCATCTCGTCTTAAATCACCCTCTCTACCGGAAACAAGCAAGGTGTTTCCATCAGGTGTCACTACTCTATTTATTCCTCCCAATCTTGTTTCATTCAACGCCATAATTTCAATTCTGTACTGTTTGAACACTCTCTCCACCTGTTCAAGTTTACTATCCTTTGCCATTGTTCTACTATTCCATGTAGCAATTTCTTTAATGTATCTGGTATTGATAAGCCGGGAGATTCTTAGCACCCCTCTTCGCCCGGGACTGGGGACCATATCAGTGTTGTCAATTATCATAATGGTTGGAATAATGCTTGGAGGATTCATCAGCTAGGTACTCCAGAGAAGAAGCCACCTCCTCGTGTAGCGCAGTTCCCATCTAACTTGGGCAGGTGACCCCTATCATAGAGATAAGCGTCCGAAATCACTGCCGGGATTACAGTCTGCCGTACCCCGCCAGGAATTTGACCAGTCACCCCACTGCCAGTGACTTCAAGTAGTTCACAGAATATCATCTGCTACCCATATCTTGTTTGGCTGACAAATCGAAGTCGTTACCGGGGGATACCACGAGGAGATAGAGATATGAGCTGAGTTATATGGGTGAGCCAAACTCCGCTAACCACCTTATTAGTTTAAGGAGCGACTGCTAGTGGGAAAGAGGTACTATCACTCCATATAACCCCATATCCCCAAACCAACTGGTGCTCAGAAGCAAAGTCACAAGAAAAACTACATAATGTTTTATGTTATGATTAAGTACAAAGGCACGTTTATAAGAGTTTCAAGTCATTCTCCTCTTTAATCACAACATATCCAGGCCAGTGGATTTGATTTGTACACACATATTATATATTTTAGAGAGTCGAGTTTCAGCTAGTGCACTTTGCTATATTAGACCTCAAAATATCACCCTAGGAGGTGAAAAGGCAAATATTAACACATCTAGAGTCGTCTAGGCTGCTACTAGCTTTTTGAAAACTGAAAAACTTGAGAGAATGGGTAACCTGTGCAGGAGAGCTGCTCCTTACTGCCTGCGCCGTACAAGGCGTGCCGGAGTTTAGATCCCGGTGGTTAGTCTTCCCGGCCTCACTGCTGTAGCTAGAAGTTACAGACTCTGCTCCTGCTTCAGGTTTTCTTCTCAGTTGGTCTGTGTCTGTTACTTTGCACCATCTGTGCGTTTTTTAGTCAGAAGTGTCCCAGGATGTTTTCTTTTCTTAGTTATTTATGTTAACGGGTTGTTTGGACATGCCGGTTCCCTCCTGGCTTCTTTTATTTTCAGGCTTTTTGTTTTTCCCTGTTTACGTGTTTTTGCTTCTTGTGTGGTGCTTCACGCCAAGGGCGTCGTTTCGTTGTTTGCTTCCATATCCCTGTTCTCAGAGGAGGTCCTGCGGGAATGCGTGACAGCCAGACCTTCACGGTCGCTGCCCCCCGCCAGTCGCCAGTTCAGTCCAGGCTCCCTAAGCAGCAACTGCAGCAACGCACGACAATTACTCAGCGCCTCTTTGTTGCCTCAATGTCGGCCAGGTTCACTTGCCGCCAGAGGGAGACCTTCCCAGGTTCTGTCAACCACAAGGCAGAGGTGGTTTCCCTGAGTCGTGTGCTTCTCCACCTTTACCAGCCCTCACCAGGTGGTTCGGGTAGGACGGACCCTTCTCCTCTACAGACCTCCTATGGATCCCTCCCCCGGGGGAACAGGCGACCTTCCACGGCGCCGCTGGCGAGGACGGCCCCTCTACCTCCTCATTGCTCCGTCTAAGTCGGTCCCTAGCCGTCCAGAGGTAGAAGCCGGAGATATTGGCCACCTCGAGTAGTGCTCCCACAACCCACCGACTCGGACCAGGAGTCGGTATCAGCAATCTCTCCAGTTCTTACAACCCCAGGCCTTCTTCAGGAGAAAGGAACGTCCCTGCACTTACCTACGCTCCCCTCTCTTTTAAAACACCTGATGACATCATCAGCCAGGGGGCGTACAAGCGGGCTCGGGTCCCACGGGACTGGGTTGTGCACTGGCACCAGGAGAGACTGGCCATTTTTTCGAGTGTAAAGCCGGGGGAGGACCTAGTTCTCTCTCCCCGTTCCGAAATAGATGCCCGACGACGGGCGGATGACTTAGGTTAGGAGTACTTACAGTTCCGACAGCTCCGCCTGTCGAGAAGGGAGATGGTCTCAGCCCTGTCAGGACCGTCCCCGATCACGGCCCTGGACGCCTTCGACTCTCTGGCCTCCTGTTCCGTGCTATCCACAGGACGGTAGAAGGTGTACCCGGGTGGCCGGCCAGGCCCTCTTTCCAAGGGATAAAGTAGGCCTGGACCTCCAGTCAAGGCCCGTAGTCTTATCCCCTAGGATGACCGGGTGCCAGACGAGCTGATGGAGTTCTTGTGGGCTCAGAAATTAACCGTCCTCTCTCCCATGGCAAGCCTCTTAGGTAGCTCAGACCACCCTGACCATAGACGCCATGTGGTTACGGCATGGAAGGTGGAGGGCGAGCATCAGACTCTGCCGACCTGTCGGGATCCTCCGCCAATGCCTCTCCGCAACGGCCGATAACACCACCAGCCAGCATCATCTCTTCGTTCATCCTCAGTCGGGCCACCCGCTGTCAGTCAGAATATTGGCAGACAGGTTGCGACAGGAGGAGGCTGACCCTGGTAAGACCCCACGTCCCTACGACGTACAGGGTGTAGTACCTTCACTGGCTTTCCTGAGGACCCACTCCCTCTCACAGGTCCGGGAAGGGGGTCAGTGGAAACCGACCTCCTGCTTCATAGCAAATGACTCACCAAGTGTCAGACGCACCCTGCATGGCAATTGATCTCACCCCTCGACCCACAGACAGCACGTTAGAAAGAAAAATAATGTAGCTTATTCTAAGAATAAAATTTGAATGGACCGTCATGTGCTCACTCCTCCCCTTACATCATAGCACCCTCCTTCCTGTGGAATATAGCAAAGTGCACTAGCTGAAGCTCGACTCACTAAAATAGGGGTTTTAAAGCTTGCTGAAAAGTCTATTTTTGGTGAGCGAAGCTAGTGCACGCACTTTCCCGTCCTTCCTTTGGCTTCATCACCCGACTATTCCTGATGTAGGTTTTGGAAAGCAATGACCACCTGAATCTAAACTCCGGCACGCCTTATACAGCGCAGGCAGTAAGGAGCTTTCCTGCGCAGGTTACCCATTCTCTCCTCCTAGGGTGATATCTTGAGGTCTAATATAACAAAGTGCACTAGCTTCGCTCACTCACCCAAAGTAGGCTTTTCAGCAAGCTTCAAAGCCCCTATAATCGGTATTCTATTTTTGTAAGGAATAGTTGAAGAGATACTTTTATTGTTATCTTTATAAGTATTTTATTAAATATTTATAAATAGTCTTATAGACTACAAAACACATTTTTTTTATTTAAATGTGATACATGTTATACAGTAATTAATTACATTTAAGTGAATAGCTATGCTACCTTTATTGTCTAACAATCAAATTTATGATCATATTTTTATCAGTTCAAGGCTGCAAATGTAAGAACTATTTATAGAGAACATGAACATCATTAAATTAATAAGACAAACTGTACATGCAAAATAAAAGTATACTCATAGCAACTAGGCTCTACAATAATTAAAGCATAACATGAACAAGTGCACAACAATTACTAATACACATTCTTAAATACCCAAAATAAAAAAGGCATTCATGCATAACATACTGAGGACAATAACTACTACTGTACACAGTATAAGCAAAAGCAAAAAGCAGCCAAGCAAAACAAAAATTGCTAAAGGAAAACATATCCAACAGTATGCTGCATGAGATTAGGTCAGTATTGCTGGATGTCCAAATCATAAACTTCTACATTATATGGTGAAACATTTATCATCAAATGGTGGTGATTTCTCTCTGCAGTGGTATGTGTACTGCAATAAAATTAAAATTATAATATTTAGCATATACAAATGTATGCATAACTTACAAAAATATTCACTTGTAACACCTATTTGTTTGATTATTGCTAAATTATTGGGTTAATTCATGCTCATAATTTTCATAGCTCCATCCTCTCAGTGGGACACAAGAGTTACCCTCCCTCATCTCAGTGGGCTATATAAGTGACCCTCCATCATCTCAGAGGGCCACATGAGTGACCCTCCCTCATTTCAGTGGGCCACATGAGTAACCCACCATCATCTCAGAGGGCTACATGAGTGACCCTCCATCATCCCAGGGGGCCACATGAGTGACCCTCCATCATCTCAGTGGTCTACAAGAGTGACCCTCCATCATCCCAGGGGGCCACATGAGTGACCCTCCATCATCTCAGTGGTCTACAAGAGTGACCCTCCATCATCTCAGTGGTCTACAAGAGTGACCCTCCATCATCCCAGGGGGCCACATGATTGACCCTCCATCATCTCAGTGGTCTGCATGAATGACCCTCCATTTTCTCAGTTGTCCACATGAGTCACCTTCCATCATGTCAGTGACCCTCCATCAACTCAGTAGGCCACAGGAGTGACCCTTCATCATGTCAGTGACCCTCCATCATCCCAATGACCCTCCATCAACTCAGTGGGCCACATGAGTGACCCCACATTATCTCAGTGGTCCATATGAGTGACCCTCCATCATCTCAGTGGGCCACATGAGTGACCCTCCATCATCTAAGTGGTCCACATGAGCGACCCTCTTACATATGGGTTCTAGATCAATGGATCAGGTATTTCGCAAATAATAGAGACAAACACGACTCTTCTCTCAGTAATGAGACAGGTTCATTCAATTCCATGAAGCTCCGACACCTGCTTTGAAATGTTTTATGAACAAGAGTCATAAACTGTAATGGTCAGACTGTTAGTTCCGTTACTGCTGTTGCCGGGATATCAAATGCGGTCAGTGAAGGTTCCAAGTGTTCCCTGAAGAAGGCAGTGATGGGTAGGGAAACACCGGGTAACACTGAAGTCCATTTATTAACGGATAGGAGACTAGCGACTAGCGTGCGCGTTGCACGACCCACGGAGTCAGACTGAGGCTGCATTGCCATATGGCAGCCTCAGAGCAATGTTGCCACATAACACGTGCAGTGTTGCCACGTAATTACATACATAGATGCTACTCGACACAGTAGCTTATATACAAGGTTGCTACTCGACACAGTAGCTTAGATACATAACCTACATCTCCCTCCCCCCCTCACGCTCATAGTCTTTGTCTTGAGCGGACTTCTTAGTCCTAAGTCGCTTCGAGCATCGAGGTGCACTGTGGGGCAGATCCTCGTGAGGTGTAGGGGACTCGTCCTCGGTCAGGGGGCCAGCAGCAGGGGGTGGGACTGGCCGAAGAAAGCGGCGGTTCCTCCACCAGAAGCAGCCGCTCGGCATCCTGACCTTGTAGTCCCGCGACCGGCCGACGCCCATCACTATGCCCACCTTGACCCAACGTGTCGTCGTCGGGTCCTGGACGCGGAAAAGGGCACCAATCTCCAGCGGCTGATGAGGGCGGGTACGGTCGTCATACCGAGCCTTGGCGTCCTGGGCACGTGTAGCGGCGCGGCAGTCGCAGCTCTCGGCTCTGGTCTGCCACTCCTTCACAAAGGCCTTGGCGAGTGCAGGAACGCAAGAGCGGAGAGGGTGACCATACAGGATCTGGGCAGGGGAGCGTCCTGTGTGGGTGGGAGTATTACGTAACTCCAGGAGTCCTTTGTCAAACGCCTCACAGTCTATGTTGCCTGAAGGGGCCACCTTGAGGATGAGGTGCTAGACTGTCTTGACCGCAGCCTCAGCGTGGCCGTTTGACTGTGAGTAGTGGGGTGTTGACACGATGTGGCGGACTCCCCAACGCTCCAGGAATCCTGTGAAGTCCCGGCTGGTGAACTGTGGCCCACCATCCGTCCGCAGACGTCCGGGGACACCCAGGTCACGAAAGAGGTGCCGGAAGTGGCGGATGGTGGCCGCGGACGTCGTGTCCGAGCCACAGATTACCACCACAGGCCAGCCAGAGAGTCGGTCGGCGACAACTAGGAAATGTTTCCCAGCTGTGATGAAGAAATCAGCCGACACGGACTCGAAGGGCCTGGTGGGTTCGTCGTCGCACAAGAGGGGCTCCTGCTGTTGACTGGGCAGCATGATCTGGCACGGCTCACAGGCACGGACCGTATTGGCGATATCCGCGTCAATGCCAGGCCAGTACACAGCCTGCCTTGCGCGGCGCTTGGTGGCCTCTGCTCCACGATGGCTGTCGTGTAAGCGGGCCAGAACGCGACGACGGAGAGCTGCAGGGACGACCACACGGGCACCGTACAGGACGAGGTCCCCATCTGCGTAGAGGTCCTCGCATGTCTTCCAATACGGGCGTAGGGCGTTGTGGAGGTCAAAACGGTCGCGAGGGAACCCAGTCCTCACACTCTCCAAGAGCTGAGTGTAGGAGGGGTCGTCGCGTGCCGCGGTCCGTAGTTCCTCAAGGGCCTGATCGCTGTCGGGTGGCGACACTGAGGCCTGGGTGCTGGCGAGGGACTGTACGGCCTGCAAAGTGACGATGTTGCTGACGGAGATACCTGCCTCGGTGCTGAGTATCTCGTCTTCAGGTGTCGAGTGGCTGACTGGGTAGCGGTAGAGGGCATCCGGGATGCACAACTCCTTACCTGCGTGCCAAGCCGCGGTGAAGACGAAGGCCAAAATCTTCTCCTTCAGGCGCTGGAGGCGGAGATTCTCGATGGCGTCCAGCGAATAGTGGTTAAGAATGGGGACCAAGGGCCTATGGGCTGTGATGAGGTCGAAGTGCTGTAGGCCAATCAGGTAAAACTTGCACTTCGATAAGGCCCATACCACTGCCAGCAGCTCCAGCTCGATGGTAGCGTAGCGAGACTCAGCATCGGTGAGGAAGCGAGAGCCACACTGTACGAGCTGTTACTTTCCTCCCGTACAGACGCGAGGCGTCTGTCTGGAGGACGGTGGGGAACGCTGGGTCGAAAGTAGCAAGGATAGGTGGACTTGACAGGGCCTCCTTCACCTTATGAAAGGCGAGGTCGTGGTCAGGGGTCCATGTGAAAGTCCTCTTGGGGCTCATCAGGGGGCGGAGAGGCCCGGCAGCGGCGGAGACGTCAGGAGAAAATTCTGCCAGCTGGTTCACCAGGCCCATGAAAGACTTGGGCTCCGTAAGGTTGGCAGGTTTGGCAAAGTCCGCTATGGGGCGAACTTTCTCCGGGTCCGCAGCAATGCCATCCCTTGAGAGTCGGTAGCCGCAGAAAGACACAGCAGGTGCGGCCAAGACGACCTTCTCAGCATTCAGAGTGATGCTGTGCGTCCTACACCTCGTCAGTATCTCGTCGATGCGGCGAAGATGCGTCAGGTAGTCCTCATCGTAGAGGAGGACATAATCCACTACCTTCACGCAGTTGGTCACGCCTTGAAGTGCCATGTCACCACGGAGACAGAAGGCGTCCCCCGTAGCAGCAAATCCCATAGGGCTACGGTAGTAGCGGAAGCGTCCGTAAGACGTGATGAAAGTGGTCAGTGGCTGATCCTCCTTCTTCAGTGGGATCTGCCAGTAACCACAGAGGGCGTCCAGTCGAGAAGTGCCGTACCTTCGGGTCCACACTCCGTATAGCTGCAAA